GTTTTTTTATTGTCTTTTGTTTTTCTTTTAAATTTATTATTACAAAGCAAAATTTATTGCCTTGTTCTTACTTGCTTTGTTTGTACATATCATTGCTTATTTTATCTTTTGCATATTTTATTTACTTTCCTTGTGCATGGGTTATTAACAACTCTATTTTCGCATATTATTTTATTTACCTTATTTATACGAGTCATTACTTACTTATTTTTCCATATCGTTTATTTACTTTTTTTTGTACATATTTTATTACCTACTTTATTTTGCATGTCCTTTACTTTCATTCCTTGTATTTTTTGCATGCCTTTTACTTACTTTATTTGTACACATTATTGCTTATTTTATTTTCACATGTTTTTACTAACTTTATTTGTACATATTTCATTACTTTGTTTTACACACTTTGTTACTAGCTTTATTTTTGCATGCCTTTCATTTACTTTATTTGTTCATATTTTGGTGCCAACTCTATTTCGCCATGCCTTTTACTTATTTCATTTTTGCATATTTGATTGCCAAGTTTACTTTGCATGCTTTTCACTTACTCTATTTATGAAAAAGTTATCACCAATTCTATTTTTTAAAGCATTTTATTTTTAGCTGTATTTTTAAATGCCTTTTACTTGCTTTTTTCGTGTATATTTTATAATAATCGAACCAGTTTATTAAGCAGCTGTGGAGCGAAATGAATCAAATTGTGAAAAAGAAGGTGTAAATTATTAATTAACGCATGAAAGATTTGCACCTTTAATTAATCCACTTGTTAAATGCGAATGTTCTAATATTATTCTCAATTAACAGCTCGAAATTTATAGGCTGTATGCTCTTTGAAATCATCGGGTATGTTACTTAACCTTTAGAATTTTCCTGCATCACAGATAAATGATCATCAAAAAGCAGCGAAGTGACCGACACACAGAACTTGGAAATATGAACATTTTCTCTTCAACCTAAAAACTTTCATGCATCCCTGTTTTGATAGGGATGCATGAAAGTTTTCAGGTTGAGAAGTTTGAGACGTCGATTGGCTAACAATTACTCATGAAACTACTTTGGCGCAAGCAAAAAGAAAGTCTCTCACAATCGCTTACAACAGCAACGGAAATGCGCATGCTTAAAGGTTCGTCAACATTCATGTTTTGAGAACTTTTGACTATAATTTCATCTCTTTTAAGTATTTTTCAATTTGGTGAGATGTAGTGAATTAACCAATTAGGCGCATAATAATATGCATCAGAATTATTCAAGAGAGTTGACACAAAATTCTCACAAAATTATTTAGGATTATGCGATCTAGAGCGAGTGATACGAACGTTACTCAGAAGGAAATAGGAAGATGAAAGATTTATAGATTATGCATACTTATAGATTAAAAGAAGGTATCGATTGAAAAATTAGTCGAAAAACAAATTCATTAATCTTCAAAATGGTCTAAATGTAGTATTCATAGAGATTATATCAAAGACTGGCTGGAGATGAATTTTATATATTTTTTTTTCAATGAAATGGAGTTATGAATAGAGCATGAAGTAGCGTATGAAACGCCAGTACTTCCAAAATTAGGTGAATGAATATCGTTCCTTTCATTCGTGAAAGAAATTGCATGATTTCTTCAAGGATTTGATAATAAAATCATATCACAGAAATTAGACTTGGAATTATCCTCGATATCAAATTAATTTTGTCAGAAGCTTGAATTTGTAACTTTTGCTGTTATCTCAAATCGAAATAGGCGGGAACAACTTCTTTCACGAATATTTGGTGATTGCGAAAATTTCTTAGCAATGCTTTGTTTGCGACAAAGGGAAAAAACAACTAAGTGTATCAGTCAAATTTTCACTGAAATTCATTAACAAACTTAGAGCTTCTGATCTCTTCTTTATTGGATATTTAATGAAGATTTAAATTTTGTAATGGGTGGAATATCGAGTATCTCTGATTATAAATAAATAATGGAAAGATATTGGAGTTGAAATCTGAAATTTACTATCTTTGAAACTATACATTGGAAGGTATTTTTGGAAATTGGTTTCTTTTTACTGTTCAAACTGTTATTTTGTGACGTGCATGCAGCTACTTTGCAACTCGCATGCAACAAGCAATTCGTCAAGTAGAATTTCAATATTTTGTTGGGTGTCAGTAAAACATTTCTCGCAGAAAAATTTTGGAGTTATAGAATTCCTTAACTTTCTTCAATTGCTGTTATTATCAGTTGTTCTCTTAGCTATAAACATATTTCGTTTTCAGTTTATTTTTGTGTTGCCATGCTGATTTCCAACAGCATTTTTTTTTGTAGGGAGGTGTCGAGCCATCTTTATGCGGTCTCTTTATTACTAAGATTCTGCGAATCATTCCAGTTAATTAATTAGCAACTTCCACTTATGAAACCGTTGCGACACCACCTAATCAGACTTAAATAGACTTTGACAGCTTATCTGATCGCACAGCAAGCCATTGTTGAAGAGTGCAGTATGTGTGAACATTAAGAAAGTTACGTCTTTTGTTGATCGCAGGTAGACAGGTTGCTGTAAAAGTATCAACTGGTCATTATGTGGTAATTATGTTAATTATCAAGCATTAACGCTTTT